ATGCGTGAGGATCAAGCGGGTAGAAAATAGTCGAGTGGGAAGAACGGTGCATCGAGATCCTGACCGACTGGCCTGTCAAAGACGCCACTTTTAGCACAAACACCGCGGGTCTGTAATAATCGGCGGGGATGAAAAAAAGGGGGAGATCGTAGGAAGAAGGAGATAGGAAGGGTGCGCGTTTCAGCAAGTTCTTCTGGCGTCGGATTAAACGCGGTACAAAAGAAATTGAACTTGCAGAAGCTCGCGAGGACGAGGCTGCACAAAAGCCTCGAGACAGCTGAGCGCTACTCGAGCACACGTTTCCCACTCGGATCATCCTCGACCTCAAAACTCCGGTCCATCCGCTGACAAACGATCGCCTCGGGTACCCTGATTAATACTTGGTCGCTTACGCTAGAATTCGACACCCACGTTAAGCTGTTTCGTACTCGGCGAGTCGCAAGTGCGCGTGAAACGACCAAAAAATCGAATATTCCAGTGTTACACCAAAAGTTTTATTCAAAATTCCGACGCCTGTAACACGATCGGAGATTTTCAGAAGGACGGAAGGCTGAAAGTACAGGCGGAGTAGCAAGGAAACGAAATTTGTCAGGGCATTGGCGGCGCCTTAAATTTGTCCCCGACTCCGATTACGGGATTACGGGACTCCGATACTCCGACGCCGGACAAAGGGGATCAGAAAGCGGGAAGGATTAAGGCCAACGAAGAAATTGAATTCGTCGGAAATCCGTAAACGTGAAGGGAATCGACCGGATCGACGTGTTTCCGGCCGCGCACCTGACACTATTCTTCGAAACTCCTACGGTCAGGCCAGCCTGCTTTCGCGGGGCGCTAAGAAACGAAATTGTATCAACCGGGAATGGAGAACCGTGCTTCTTCCTCCTTGGATACTTCCGCCATAGCGACCACTCCGAATGTCGTGCAGCATAGCGTATTAGAAATCGAAAGGTTAATACAGAAACGATAATGGGAGATGCATTCGTCCCAGGCACCGCAGCTCGAACTCCGGACTTTTAAAACTCGCTAAAAATCCACGCGACCCGCAAACGACGACCGAGTCGAAATCAAATATCCGTCAGAGGAACGTGCACGGTTGCTATACGGGAAAAAGGACAAACCCCTCGAAACGTACACCGGCTAAACAAGAACCGCCTGACAAAATGCGCCAGCTCGATCGCTCGGCAAATAAACTGGGAAAGAAACGTGGTCGCTAATTCCCGAACCGTGAGAAACTTTTGCAATTCAGCCAGCGTGGTGTCCATAAGGCGGTGTTTGGGGGCGGATAATGCGTTTTCATATGCAAAAGAAGCCGAGCACGGTGTTCGAGGGCGGATAACTCGGCGGCTACGTGTCTCGAGGATCAACTCCGCGTCATACGTCGACCCGGAACGAAGTTACTCGTAAAAATTAGTGTCTTTCGTCGCCGGTTAAAGCGGGAACGTGAGTAGCGAGGTAAGAGCGACGAGGATCGCGTGCGAATTTCGCGTTGGCGAAATGGCCCCGCGCGAACCGAAATGTCCGCCTGTCATATCGGTGGCGCACGAACCCTGCAGCCAAACGTGATTCGCGTGGTTCGTTTATTTTCTGAAATTCGAGGCTGGTTCTGATATGAGAAGAAAATCTGATTAGGCGTTTATTTTTTCATCCTTCCATCACCATTTGCTCCCCGGACCTTCGAATTTCGCGAACTTTCCGCGCTAATATTTATATTTTATCCGTGTACGTGTAGAAATACGACAGAATAATTTCGTTTTACGAAGATTCGAGTGGCTGTTAGGACGTGTAGGGTTAAACGAATCGCTTTGTAGAGGAAAGCCGGAACTGGGAACGCGACATCCCGGGGACACGAGAGAATCGTCGAAAAGCAGCAGCAGGCTACCGACACCGGTGTCGGTTTTCATTTTAACGGTGCAGCGTGTCGCTGTAAATTTCATCCGCTTGGTGAAATTTATTTGACCGGACCCCACGGATCGGGCATTAATGAATTTTCCGATATTTTCAAGGGCCGCGGGGTGCCCTATCGTCGAAACGCGAGCCCGCTCTTTCAAAGCGGCTTTCTCCGCCACCCTTTCCAGTCCAGCGCCGGTTCCAGTATTTAAGAGGGCGTATATATCTTCCAGAGAACAGCCCCTGTAACCCGTGGCCGGACGGTTCCAATTTATTTGCAACGCCGGCGCATCTTTCATCGGCCTTTTCGTATTTTCTCCAACGGATCCACCAACTTCCGCGTTGTTTTGCTCCTCTCGCGAAACCGTCGAGATATGGCCATGGTAAAAATTGAAATCGAACTGTCCGGGGCCGAGGAGGATCCACGGCGAAGAATTTCCACCGACCGAATTATTACAGGACGCCGGAGAAACTAATCGGGCCATTAAAGTTATTAAACCGCGGCGGAATTTCTTTCGTCGACTACGGCCGCGTTTCACGGTCCAGGAGGGAACAAATATGGAGAAGGATGATTTCCAAGTCAAATTCGGGGCTCTTTAAAATCACGAGGAGTCCGATCCCGCGTTCATTAGCCCCTGGCTGCGACAGATAACGGGTGTAATTTATGATCCGTTATTACGAAACTCCGCCAGCCACCCCGCGAACGAGGCTTTCTTCCGGGACGCCTGATAAACATGTTTGGCTCCAGCTGGAAATTACTTAGTCGCCCACTTCCAACAATTTCCCTTTCTGTTCCTTCGTTATTCCACAGGTTAATTTATCCCTGGCCAATCGAGCAAACGTATCTCTCCATTTATTTACATTTTATTCAAATAGACTCTTCGCCATCTCTCTGCCAATCTTCCTCGTCGTCATTCGGCTCGACGAGGATCAGAGAATTTAAAAAATGACGGCGCGGGTGAGAATATTTAAACTCCCCGACAAGGTAACCGCATTATCTTCGTTCAACCCTGACCAGGGGTAGAGAAACCGTGCTGGAGCAGACGGTAATATTTGTACGCCACCGCGGAACACGCCTTCGGTTAGTTAATTTTTACGCTTATCCGCGAAACGAACGCAATGAGCAGAGAGAAAGGGATGGAAGAGAATGCCGAGACGGAACAGGAGGAAGAAAATCTCTAGTAATCCCCGAGGGAATAATCGGTGGCACGCTCCGCGTTTTTCCCCTCTTAATTAACGGCTCGTCGCAAACGCGAGGGATTACTTTTAATTAGCTTTCTGAAGCGGCCAAGGGGAAGCACGGGGACGGATGGGTCCGTCGAACGCGCGTCAACGCGCTGCACGCAGTTCCATGTCAGCCATCGTTCGTGATTACTCTTCGTCTCGAGTTCGTTTAGCGTTTGTTCGTCGATCGCGATTAAACGTGTTCGTTCTTTTCCCCGACTCCCGCTTTCGGCCACTGAATTTCCTTCCGCCGACTAATTGCCGGCCGAATTTATGATCCCCGTTTTGAACAATGGAGAAACAGAGATACGAAAATTTACGTCCCCCATGGGATTCGCGGAAAGAAATAGCATTATCTTGCTCTCTACGAGAATTATTCTTCCGCCCTTCGCAACATATTCCTTCTTTATCTTGGAGAAAAGCGTAGAATCGGAATTCTTTTCATGCAAAACACACGGAGCGTTGCTTACACGATGCGTCCTCTGGCGCGTATTCGTGACGCTATGACAAATAATATTCAAGAAAATCCAATATGGAGTTCAAAGGGAGGCGGCTACGAGTAACTTCCTTTATCGTAAATTTTAATTTCGAGCTTCCCATGGAACTCGGATTCCCTTCTAGTCTAATGTTACCTCATATTCATCGAGGAATCTTTACGAGCAATTCCGAGGGAACCAGTAGCTCGATGATGTACATCAGACTGTTTCGCTAAATATCGCGACGTTCCCGGTGCGTTCGGCTCGTTCCAGGCGAAAACAACGCGTGCATTTGATGCATCTGCCGCGCCTGTGAATGTGACAAAATTCTGGACAAAAGGTGCCGTCCGAATGCTCGCGTTTCGCGTAACCAGCCGCACGGGACAATTCCGGAAGCCGTGGTCGGACCGCCGGAAACGCGCGTGAACGCGACGCTTTTTTAATAAACCGGAGAACGTGCATCCACCGCAATCAAGACGCGTCATAATTTTGCAAAAAGACGCCTCCGCGAAAAAGGCGAGGAAGAAATTGGAAACGCTGAACCGGGATGAAAAGCTCGGGCTATCCAGGAATTTTTGAAATATCCGTTAATAAGCTGCGCCATTCGAAATAAGCTCGGGTGTGTTTATGGCAACGCGAGATTACTTTTACGAGCAGACAAAAGCTGCTTCGAAACGCGATGTTTCGGAACGATACGGTGCCATGTTCAACGCGGTTGCTACTCCCGCGAGAAGAGGCAGAGGGAAGAATCGAGAACCGGAAGTACGATGTTATATCTTCGCGTCGATACGAGATACGAGGGACCAGTTGGCAAATTTACTATTCGGCCGGGTTAATTGGCAGAGGTAAATTGAAGGTGATTAAAGAAAACAGGATGCGAGTAGACACGGAATCTCGCCGTGGAGAAAGTTAAACACGGACCCGAAATTAGGGTGCGCCAAAAGTAGATGAAACGCGGCTAAAAGTACCCTGTTCTCTAATTGTCTTTCGGGTAAAGGCTTTCGATGTACACCGCGCTCCTCTTATTTTCCTGGCAGAGCGTCAAGAATAAAATGGCTCGGATCACTGTTTACCGTCACGAATTTTTTCCCTTTTCCTGCTACCTAAATATCCACGCAGTCGCTGCTACTATCGGTCACGTGTCTTACTTCGGCGTCGGCTAGGGGCCATAAACGAGGCTCGTAAACCGTGGTAAGGCGAAAAATATATTCGTCGAGGTCGTAAATTCTGAGCTGATCCACAGCACCGACGCTTTAATACGCGATTAATCACGGGAACGCGTGGAAAATTTTTTAGCCCCCATTTTCTTCGCTTGTCGATCTCCGGATCGATCCAATCGGATCGCTTCCCCTTCTCGAAACTCCATCTCGAACTGTCGCCGATCTTCGAAACGATTAATCTGGGCTCGCTTACCTTCGACCTGATGCGGCGCGTAGATGTTGAGGTAGAGGCAGTCCTCGCTCTGGTTCTTCAGGAAGGGCAGTAGCTTCTCTAGGTACTCGTACCGCACCGGTTTCACCTCGTCTCGCAGTTTCGGCGCGATTTGCGGGCACACGGGTGCGAATTCATGTGACTGCCGTATGCCTCGCCATGGTTCCGGCGACCTCGGTGGAGAGAACCTCAAGGATCCCACTGGAGGCTCCGCGTATGGCACTCCTGGAACGTTAAATGGCCGTTCGTTATTTCGATAAATGAAACTCGTTTCGAGTGTCGCGATCCGGATGCGTTTCGAGTGGCCGGTGTCGGATTTTTGCCACTTCGCAGGTGATCCTGGTGAACGGTTCTCGAACAGTCCTCTGGTTAGATAGAATTTCGAGAGATCGGTGACATCGATGGGTCACCGGTGACCCATTTCGATTCGAAAACCGAGTAGTCGAAATTAAAAAATCGTAGGTCGGCATTAGCTTGGACGAAGATGGAAGCACCGGTGGAGGAGTTCATGGGAATTCTTATCGTCGGGCTGAGCAGCGAGGTCGTGGCTGATTTCCGGTGCGAATCGTCGCGGCGAAGTAATCACCGTAAAGTTTTATTGCGCTTTGAGAAGATCGATTAAATCGATCGCCCTGGTCCGGCGTGTTAACACGCCCCAGCTTGACGGCAAGGATCACGGCTGATCCATTTTATCCCATTCCCGTGTAAATTGGATTCTCAGGCCTGCGGCTTGCCCGCGTAAAATATTAAATCAGCGGACGAACAAGTACAAATTGAAAAGTTTGATTGCAAACATCTCCGTTCGACTAGGTACATATAATTACGCGGACTCGAACTCCGCGGTATTTAGCTCGAAAGTCTCTACCTGCTGGAAGCTGTAGGCGGTACTTTGCACTTTTATCGATAAAGAAGTACCTCGTGTATGAATTTACCCGATACACGCATCGTATTCCTTCGTTAGCTTGGCCACGCTGCCGATGAGCGAGTTCCAATCAGCTAATTAAGTTCATTCTTACGATTGCAAAACAATTTCATACACCGCAATTTCGAATCCTTATACCCGAGCAGGTTCCAAAGCGAATACGCCAACGTATCGTTGATTATTCTAAGAACACGACGTTCCAAAGACTCGCGAAGTATGCCGCCATTTCGAATCTTGGAATCGCGAAACACGTCCGCTGGATATTCCCGAACTTTCCTCGGCGCGAACTCGATTGCTCGTCTCGCGAAGAATTCCGCTTCGTTTACTCGCGGGAGAACGAAAATACGCCTCTTCCATTAGCGACTTTGGGCCGGCGAGTCGAATTCGAAGGCTCCATAAACCTTAACCTATCCCTAATTTATCCTAGGCTTCCTCAGCGCCATTCCTCGCGCAAACGGAACCGCTTGCACGCGCGGAAACGCTGGAGAATCGAGTGGCCGATGCCAAGGAATGTCTGAGGATCTCGGGGAACTCGAGAAAGTACAAACCCCGCTCGATTCCGCTTTGCCAGCGAATGTGCCCGCGCGCACGCGACCAGGAACCATAGGCGGGGAGCGCCTATTCCCGAAATAACCCGCGCGTTTCTCCTTTTGGAACCTTTGACGTATCGGGATCCTCGAAGCGCGGATACGTCGCAGCTAATATCGCGGAGCGAGAGAAGTGGAAGAGGAGAGAGTAGGACGGAGAGAGAGAAATAGAGAGAAAGATGGAGAGAAGCTGATGCAGCTGCGAGCAAACTTTCGCCCCCTGGCCAAAGTTCGCCGTATCGGTAACCGGAAACTGAAATCGCGCCGGTCTCTGTGCTATCGTTGCCCGTCGTCTGGCGGGCTTCGATCCGTCACGCGATTGGTCCCGAAACTTGCAAACTCCCTCCATGCTACGTTAAACGATGATTGTGAGCGGTTCTCAATAGTCCTGATTGATTCTTTGCCGGATCGGGGCCGCCTTCTTCGCTTCGTTCTCTCGAACCACCCCGAGTGCCCGATCCCGCTCGCAGATTCGCTTATTTATCGCGAGATATTTATCACGGGATGAACGAGGATCGGTTACTTCGAATTCCCGCGATAACCCATATCGCCGGGCGTGTAACGCTGTATATCATTAACCGGGTTTATAATTTGACCAGCGTCCTACATTTTTGCATCCGGCATGCAAACGAGGATACGATTAAATATTGCCGCTGTTCTAGCATAAATATCGTTAATTAGAACGTGACACATGCTTCGTTCGAATATCCGCGACAAATTAATTTACAGATCGCGCTGCGTTATCTACGAGAGTCGCATTCGCGATATCGTTTTACGCGATAAATCTCACCCAGAAAAACGTCGACTGGCTGGAGATCGTGGTTGGTCCTCGGCTGCACCACGAAGCCGCGTAAACGGCCCTGCTTCACGCGCACCTCCCTGGTCACGCGTCCCGGAGAATCGTGGAACCTCGAATAGTAGTCGTACTGCGGTCTGCTCTCGTAAAAACTGCGGTGTTCCGTGAGGATCTGGGTACAGGCCAGCATCACGAGACCCACCAGCTGCAGTCGCAGCATTCTCGACATTTGTTCGATGGTTGGACAGCCGGGTAGCGTAGCGACGAATTTCCACCCGTGCACCTTCGGGCACGACTGCCTTTGGCCCGGAGTCACGAGGCCAGAAACCGGTTGTCCGGGTAAAAATAATTTTTCCACGTTCCCGCTTCTTCCGCTCTCGCGCCGGATGCGAGGGGATGCGCTCTTGCTCCTCGACTTCGACTTTCGCGGCTTCTCGACGTTCGCGTGTCAGCTGCGCGAAGACGCCGCGGAGGTGTGCCAAAATCGGTAACGCTTACGTTTGACACTGCGTCCCTCAGCGTGCGTCACATTCTCCTCACCGATGCACTCGCGCTCTCTGTCCGTTATATCACATTTTCCCAATCGCGTATTTCCTTCGGACTCTCGCGAAATTGCTTCCGAGGGGTACGATTCAGTCACGATTCTCTTAGATTCTCTTAGATTCCCTTAACCGCCGAGCGGATTCTTCGTCGCTGCGATTAATTATGTCACCTGGAAAACAACGAGAGACGCGGATCACGTAGAGTCGTATCGTCGCGTTCGGAATTTCGATTCGAAAGAAAGGCACTGGGATGGCAGAAAATTCCACGTCGCAGCACTCGTAGGACGCATATTCCGAGAGGACGGAGTAAAACGGAGAGAGTGCAGACTCGGTTTCAGCGGTTCGAGGGGACTTTCCCTTTGGGCCGCGGCCGCTTTAAGTATATTTGACAGGCTTCGAAACGGCGGCGGTTTCGGTTTCGTTGGCTACATCGCACTGCCTGACGCCGATTACGAGGCAAGAAAAGGCACTCCACACTGTCCTCCAGCGAGATATTCTTGGGTCGAACGAGGGTGAACGCACGTACGTGGCAAGAGGGA